ATTATCATGAAACTGGCTAGGTAAATAATAACCGAAATTTGACATTGGATCTCGAATGTTTTTGGGAAAAGGTTTTCTTCCGACGGCGTCAGGGAAAACGACAATAGCCAAAAGGACTGTAAATGCTATAAGATATTCGTTCACCACTTTCTACGGGAAATAGCGAAAATCATTGTAAATTTAATAAAAACGCCAATGAAAATAATTTTGGGAAGCATTACATTTACGCGAGAACAAAACAATAGGTTTTTTCTTTCAATATATAAAACCAAAATCAAAAATTGATTGGCCCTCCATAACTAGTTTTTCAACAACTTTGATTGATAAAAACGCCCACCCATGCCCCGTTTTTCGGAAAAGTATGTTGTAAGCACTTTGGTTCGTCTGTTAGACTTTAAAACCTAAGTCCGTCTCTTGTTTGGGGCCCAGGGAGGCAAATTAAATCTAAACATTTAATGTCCTGTCCCAATGGGTAAAATTGTCACAATCCGCCCGACACGAAGCAGAGAAAACGTCACCAGGAAACATAATACGCTAAAAACCATTCGGGCTTAGAAAAAACAATCAGAGCTGCAATAATCACCAACATCTTCTTCAAAGTTTATTAAACGTTTTTTACCTAAAACCAAATTTTTGGTGTCCATACAAATTTTTCACTTTTCCCAAAACAAAAGAGTTGCCCCAGACCTCCGTAGTCTTTTTTGGGGCCATCTCATAAACTCAAAATCCCAGTTTATTTTTAAAATTGGGAGTAAATTTGTTAGGGTGTTCTTTTTCCCTTTATCGAATTTTGAAAAGAAAATCATATCGGAAGCTTACAGATTAAATTCTAACGGGCTTTGGGGTTGGGTTTTACCTACAGGTCTTTTTTTTTAACGTTTTCCCCGGGAAGTCCCAATTTTAATTTTCAGGGGTAAAAACCCCGGGTTTTTTTTTTTGGCTCGTTTGCCCCCTTTGACAAATAGATTCTTTTCTTGGATGAAAAAAAAGGAGAGGCCCCAAACAATTTTTCGTTCGAAGAAAATAATCGCGTATTGCCTGGTCAAAAACCCCGTGCGTTTTATTTTTAAACCTAAAATAAAATTAAAAAAATCATCAACAAAGTTCCAAAAATCATTATAACTTAACTTATTAATAGTAATATAAAACTGGCCACGGGGAAGATTCATAACTATAAAGAATAAACAAGCAAAAAAATGGTGATATTCTAGACCTATATCAAAAATCTTCTCGTACGTATTAATTAAGGAGAGTAAAATGGTAAGCAAGAAAAAATGAGACAAACAATTCAATTTTTGCAAATTAAACTACCAATTTTAATGCCCACTATGGTAAACCGAAGAAGGGCTCACACCTTCCAGATTTAACTAAAATTTTCATAAAAACTTGAATTGTATTGCAATGGCCACCCCTGAATTTAACTTATTTTTATATTGAAGTAATCAAAAATTGTATTTTCCGCTTTAATAATACGAGAAATGAATCCAGAAATACCCGGGGAAAAGCCATCGATTGTTTAAAATGTTTATAATAAATACGTTATTTTAAAAAAAAGTTTAAACTAAAAAAAATTTTTCTTTTTGTAAAAATTTTCCTCTTTACCCAATTTAACAAAAACTATAAACAAAATTAAACCATTATTGGGGGATCAAAAAGGGGGAAATTTTCAAAAGGGGTACGCAGTCCCCCCTGAGTTTGATTTTCCCGAAATCCAAAAGGGGGGAAAAATTTTGTTTTTCAAAAACCCTAAGGAGTCATAAATTCTTGGAAAAGTCAGAATTGATGGGCGCTCATTTGTAAGTTTTGCTATGAAATTAATTTTTTTTAAAAATTTTTTTAAAAACTTTACATTTAAAATTTTAAAAAAATATTAAATTTTTAAATTTTTTGCACCCCTTTTAATTTGTTTAAAGTTCGCAAATTTTAATTGATAAAGGGATTCCCAATTTATGTAGGTATAACTTTTTAAATTTTAAGACTACATGATATTTATCTGAATAATAAACAGATTCCTGGTATTTCTTAGGATCAAACCCTTGTTTAAAACCCCAAAACCCTTTTCATTTAATTTAAGGGAAAAAACCTGGGTATGTTTTTTTCCAAATAAAAAAATGTCATTTTGGGGCCCCCAACTTTTACCAAACCCAACTTTTTTAAATTTTCCCCTTTTTTAAATTTCCTGTAAACTCCAATACTAAAAAGACGAAATATTTGGGTATATTTTTTTCCCTTTTCGTTGAGAGTTTAAATTTTTTTTTTGTTTTGAGAACTGGCACCCCAAAAACGTTGTTTTTTTCCTTTTCGCAAAAAAACTCCCTTTGCGCCATAAACAAAATTTTTGTTTAAAGACATAAAAATGTTGGGTTTTTTGTTTTACTTGAAAATTTTTGAAGCATATTAAATTTTTCCCCCCACATTTTTTTTAGTGATTTTCCCTTACGGGCATGGCCCCTTTTTGGGAGAAAAAGCAAACAAAAAAATGTTTGTAAAAAAGAAAAATTTTAGGTCCCCAGGAAAATTTAGGGGGCAAGCCAAAGACAGGGAATCAAAATGCTACCTATTTGTTTTAAAGCTGATTTTTTTTTGGATAAATTTTTTCGTTTTCTTTAGTAAAGGGAAAATTTCGACCCTTTTTAATAATATTTGTTTGTTCAATTGTCCCCTTAAGTTTTATGTCCCAATGCCAAATTTCCCGTATCTGTCACCTTTGGCTTTAATTTTTTATTGGGCCAAATCTTCTTTAGGGAGTTTTAAACGCCCTAAATTATTTTTTCCTTACTTTATTTTTTATTTTTTACAAATTTTTTCATTTTTCAACGTGTAACATTTTTTTTGTTTTTTTTTTTTTTCCCTAGAAAACCCTTAAAAGGGGCCAATCAAATTTACATGAGCAAATTTGATAAAAGACTAGCCAAGAATGCAGATAAAGTTTGGTGATCATCCATCATTTAGTTATGTAGAAGAAGATGTTAAAAGGTTTTTTTTTCTATTTTTAGCTCTGTTGACCCCTAAAAGGGGCCAATTGAAATGACATGAGCAAATTCCAGTGTGACTGTCACAAGGATGCTACAGACCAAATTTGAAGTAAATCTGCCCAGCAGTTTCCGAGAAGAAGACGATTGTTGACGCATGACGCATGACGACGGACGACGGACGTCGGAGTATTCCCCATTTGATACTAATAGCTAACCCTGAGCGAGCTAATAACAAGTTTGTGTTTGGTAAAACACCCATCAATGGTTCGCTGAAAATTATGATAGGTGTTTTAAAATTATTTTATTAATTGTAGATAGGAAACAAAAATACGTGTGTTTAACGAACTCGTCAAACTTTTGAGTTGCAATGTTTGCAATATTTAAAACAGAAATTGAAACAAAAATAGTAACGATGTTTTGTTTAAAATTGGTCATGTGACTAGATATTTTAACAGTTAATACATTTTGGTTCTCTAAAAGGCAACTTGTACGTACAATTTTTTTCTAAATAGATTTTGTATGCGAACTTTCAGTACAATCCCCTTACCCTTTTAAGGTATTAGCACCCTAATGCATTACCTCCGCTTTGAATAGTATTCAAATAGGCTAGAACTACTGTTAACTACATTGAAAATGAGGGCCATGGGTTCAATCCCCAGAAGGGTCAACGTTTTTTTTTTCTTTCTTTTTTTCTTTTAACATTATTTATGTATCTCTCATGTCCCATTTGGAAAGAAAAAAAGTGTTTAATTTTGATTTTTTAATTTATATAGGTATTTATTGGCTAAATTATGCTAAATATAGTAATAAATATGGTACCTGATATTTTCAAAGTGTAATATAATCAAAACTAGACGGTAAAAGTATTTCATATTTTACAAGATCAACCAATATACTTTTTTAAAAATTTAGGGAAACTTTGAAAACAGGCACCCATTTGGGTAAATTTTAAGAACTTTTTAAATTAGGCATCCTAAGTAGAAAAATGGTCAGACACGTGGTAAAAATGGGTGGGGTAGGGTAACATTTTTATACAGATTTCATTAATTTTAAGTAAAAACCATAATTTTGCTTATTTGGATTGTTAGCTGTTTGGTACTATTTGTTTCTTACCAAAAATTAATGGGAAAACATTTTTCATTAGAATGTTATTGCAGATTATTTAAAGTTTCCTACTTTCTAAAAAGGGCCCTCATAACATCCTAGCTTGAGTTCAGAAAAGTGGCCATAACTTGATTTCCGTACGGTAAACTTTGTTTAAATTTTGCATACAGGTGTACTTTAAGGTATACATCTACTTATGATTCAATTTTTTATTTCCCTGATAGTCCCCATTGGGGTCCAAAACCCTTTAAAAAAGTAAATTTTTGGTTCAAAATGATTTTTTTAACACAATTCTGTTTGCAAAATATTTTCCCAAACAATGTTTTTTTAAAAAACAAATGTTAAATTAGTTTTAACTAAATATGTGACATAAAGCCTATTTTTTCAGAATGTATTGGAAGGCACATTCTACCCAGAAAAAAATTTTTTATTTTTTTAGAAAGGGTAAAATGATTTTATTACTTTTGAAATAAGGGTTTCAGGGAATGGAGATGTTTTACCTGAAGAAATAATGCTGAAGTGAAATACAGTATTTGTAATAAAAGTGTGTCGTTTTCAAGCTTGTGCTTTTAAAGGCTCTAAAAAGTTTAAAAACTTTTTTTTGTCGGGAAAAAGGAAAATGCCACAAAAGAAGAGCCTTAAAGAGAAAATATAATATGTGTCCGATTACATTCTCCTTATTCTTTGTGTGTAAGTCTCCCGTTTATCCAGTCAGATAATTTTATTAGTATTGACACCATTATGTTTAAAAATCTTCTTCAAACGAACACTTGAAAAGAACATCTGAATAGAAGAAAACCTTCTATAGACTTTTTGACATTATGAAGAGAACAATATAGTTTTCGTCCGTTCCTAATAAAAGAATATGTATCCGAAGATGCATTGTTTATACACAGTCTATGTTTCGTTTTGTCAGCATTTTCATTCTTTGTTATCCTTGTTAAAACCGGATATATATGCAAAAAAAGAAACAGTAGCTACAGCAATAACAAGAAATGATACCATAAAGAAAAAGTTATCAAGAGCTGAACTGACGTCCTTCCATGAGATAGTTGAATCATTTTGTGTACTTTCATATATCTGTTCTTCTATTGATTTATTACTTTCAACAGTGTTGGTCATTGGGCTTCTCAAAACAGATATTCTACCACTTATCATAGGACGGTAAACTTTTCCGCTATGCATCTGATGATAAGATTCAGTTATTACACTGGTGTTACTAGTGTAATTTTCATCATTGGCAATATTGTTTGCATACATTTCTGTTTTCTTGGTTCCTGGTTTGGATTTTGTTGTCAAATGTTCACGTTTTTGAGTTTTGTTTCTACACTTGCATTGCAAGAGTTTTGTGAAACCGGCAATCCATTCAGGAACAGGATCGTTGTCATCTTTGTAATACAGACGCACATTAAGAATCGTGACAATAGTAATTCCTATGCTTATTATCAGAACTGCTAGTAAATAGTAACCAAAAACTGACATTGGACTCGACGTTTTAGGAAGGTTATCTCCGACGAGCGTCAGGAAAACGGCAATAGCCAAAACGACTGTAATACTATAGGATATACGTTCACCACTTTCTACAGGAATAAGGAAAATCATTGTATTCAAAAACGCCATGAAAATAATCGGGAGGATTAACATTTACAAAAACATACATTGGTTTTCTTTTAAGATATAAAACAAAATCAATTGAATTGCCTCCATAACTTGTCTCAACACCAGAATGATAAAACGCCCATGCCCCGTTTTCTGAAAAGTATGATGTAAGCACTTTGATGCTCTGTAGGACTTAAAACTAGTTCCGTATTACTTTGGCCCCAGGGAGCAAAGTTAAAGCTACATTTATGTCTGTCCCATGGGTAAAAGGTCACATCCACACGACACGAAGCAGAGAAAACGTCAGCAGGATAATTAAATACTTCACCGTTCGACAAAGCGCGAATCAGCTGCCAATCATCGCCTATCTTCTCAAGTTTATTAACGTTGTTTACTAAAACTAAATTCGGTGTCCATACACTGTCACTTGCGATCACTAGTTGTTCAAGACCTCCATAGTCGTTTGGATCCCATCTCATAAACTCATCGGTCCAGTTTAATAGAAGAATTGCAGTAATAGTTAGCTGTTCTTTTACTTCATCGAATTCTTGAATTGACATTAGTTCGAACCCTACAGACAATTTTAACGGCTTGGATTGGTTTACTACAGGTCTTATACGTTTCTCGTAACCCAGCAATTTATCAGCTAGCAGCTTTTTTGCATCGTTTGCACTATGACAATAGATACTGCTTATTAATACGGAGAGACAAACAATGCGTTCGAAGATTAATGCGTACTTGGTCATCATTTATGTGCGTTTCATAATCCTGAAATATTGAAAAATGTATTCAAAAATACAACAGGCACACCAATACACAATTCTAAATAATTATAACTTGACTAATTGCCAAATTGGCTGAAGAGCAAGAGATAGTTCATGTTTATATGAGAAATAAGTATATTCTAAAAAGGGGGATATTTTAAACCTATATCAAAATATTTTCTTACATATTAATTATGAGAGTCATATGGTAAAAATAATACTGGGACCAAACAAATCAACTATCTAAATAAACCACAATTATATACAATGTAACCGAAGAAGACCTCGTTCCTTCTAGATTTTATTAAAAATTACTTGAATGTCATTGCAACGTCACCTTTATGTTTTTATTATTACAGGTAATCAAAATTCATTTACGCATTTACATACGAGGGCTGTACAAGAAGTGCAAGAAATAAGGTTAGTAATTATTTATTATTAATCATGAATATTTATTAAAAGTTGATATAATACACACTGTATTGATGCCTAATATATCCTTCTTAAAAGAAAACAAAAATCATTACAATTAAACACATTATAATCATCAGAAAACATAGAAATGTGAACATGGCGCAATCTGAATGTTGTCACATGGCTATAAGCCGTGACGTCAAAAATATACTAAAGTCAAACTCTTTGGCGCTTTGTGGAGTATAAGGTCTGTGTCTGTAAACCCAGTGGGTGAATAATTGTGTTTCGGTACTATAAGGAGTCTTTCTGTTAAGGAGTCTAAATCCTAATCATTATAAGAATAAGTTTTTAAATTAGATAAATACAATAAATACTTAAAACAAATCTTAGCTGTAATCATGATATTCACAATTATATTTTATTTTGTAAATTTTGTAAACAATATTTCAAGTTCGCACACAACAGCATATTTGTCTTTTTAAAGCGCCACGACGACGTAGAACGTTAACATCATGCGCATGCGCAATTATATCTTTAAAATTAGTCCAGCTTTCTAGAAAGAAAGCGTATGCATACCTCGAAAACATTTTTTAGCTGCACCGCTGTGAACTTTTTATGATCATTAAAAAAGCCTGATACGGTATATTAGATGTCATTTATTCAGTTATATTTAATTTTGTAATCTAATGGATGAAACATACAACGTAATGAAGTTATAAATTTGATAAAAGAACATGACATGTATCAGAATTGATACATATTCCGGGTAATTATTGATCATCTCTCGTACTAATAAACTTTTATAATAGGAAATCCTGTTACCTTGTCTCAAATCAAAACGAATGTGTCAATCTTGACCCCACAATGTACAAGTTAAACTCTTTCATTATCCTTGAATCTCCAATACTACAGACAAACTATTCATATATATTCCGTTTTCGTACAATTGTTTAAGAATTGTCCAAAAATTGTTGTTCATCTGTCGTTAATACGTATGACATTTAATTTTTAAAACATAAAAATTGTGGTTATTTTTCCACTCAACATGTCGAACGTTATTCTTTTCATTTCATTACTTTCAGTGAAATCAAATCATTACAGTCATTGTGCCTTTACAATAAACAGTGGATTTATGATGAATATTATATTAAATGTTATTAACAGTTTGTGAATGTTTAGTAATTTAAATGGAATGTCGATATGAATGATGAAATCTCTCTGGACAAAGCAAAAAAATGATTAGATATTTAGGTCAGATCTTCCTATACAATTTGCTATTCTGAATGATTTATATTATGGAACAAATGGTTTGATTGATTGCTTTTTTAAAAGTGGTAATGGGATCTATTTGTTTCGCGGTTTGAGATAAAGAGAATGTCCATAGATACAAAGTAATATATGAACTATGTAATGAAAAGATAAAATCAAGAATTCATTTTTTTGTTACAAAAGTGCGATCAATTTATGTTTTGTTTAGAGAGGTTTCAGGTTACAGGAAACGGCAGCAAAGCTTGGCAGGAGGTCTCAATTTAAGAACTATTTATTTGTAACGCTGATTTTTATGCATACCTGTGACCTTTACTTCACGAGGGTAATATACAGACATGTATAATAATATTCACTTTACGTATACCAAAGACGAACAGATCAAAAGAAGCACATTAAGATGGCAAATTACTAATTACATTTTTGGAAACTGTAACAAGAAAACCAAAAAATACAATTTTTTTTTTGAGAAACGAAATTGATAGCATATCTGATGCATGGCCTTTTAGTGACATTAATTCTTAATTAAATGCTTAAAAATGAAATATTGAGAAATGGTCGTGAACACAAATGCGTATTTTATTTTTTTCGTATTTTCACTGTATTTTTTATCATTGTATTGAAACATATCTTCTGTATTTTCACTGGTGTCTTGCCAGACTACTCTCTTCTAAATCCAGCCAATACACAAAATTAAAAAGAAATGCTCCATATTCATGAGGTTAAAAAAGAGAAAGGAGTATTATGATATAATAAACAGAAAATTCATTTACTTGGAAGGCACAGTCTGTCCCAGAAACAAATGTATGTTTATTTGTGTTAAGGAAGAGTAAACATGAGTTTTATTTTTACGTTGAAATAATGGTTTCAGGGCATTTGAGATGCTTATCACCTGAGGAACATAATCCTGAATGTGAAAATACATGTATTTGTAATAAAAGTAACAACAAAATATAACGAAACTAGTGGATACTATAGCAGGACAGCAAACATTTTAAGGGCTTTCAAAAGAATTATTTTCAACATTTCGGGGACATTATGGATCTTTAACTGACAAAAAGTTTTAGACATATTTAAAAAAAATATAAATAGTCATTCTTTTAATAACAACATATTCTACTATTTTGTTAGTTACATATGAAACAAGAAAACTTTATTTTGTTTAAACTCAAATTGATTCGAAACGAAAATACTTCCGTTTAAATACATCCATATCCATGTTCACTCTGATTATTAAATTGGACAGTAAAGATTGAAAATAATTTTTATTCTTGTTTTGATGTATATGTTGGTAATGTTTTAGAAAAGATACATTACGCATAGTTATTCACCTACAATACCGGATATGTGTATAAATATTATTTCACATGACTGTGTAGTGTTATATAAATACATATCACATCCAACTGTGGGTGCTAGTCTTGGAACACAATGTTCACCCAAGACAAGTAACGTACAGTGTCCTGACACTCTCTCGGACCTTGATATGTATACTTATGTAAATAAAGATTGTTTGCTTCTAAAAAACACACAATGACAGATATTCTTTACTGTTTGTGTTTATTTGTCAAGCGTATGCGTTTGAGCGCTCTAGAAATAGTCATTAAACTTTGATTTCGCCTGGAAAAAGTTCATTGTCACAAAAGAAGATCGTAAAAGAGAAAATGTGATGTGCCCGATTACATTTTCCTTATTCTTTGTGTTTAAGTCTCCCGTTTATCCAGTCAGAATACTTTAAAAGTATTGGCATCCTAATCTTTAAAAAGCTACTTCCAAAGAACTCTTTAGCTGAATAGAAGAAAACCTTCAATAGCCTATTTGACATTATAAAGAGAATAATATAGTATCGTTCGTTCCTATATAAAGAATATGTTTCCAAAGATACATTGTTTATACACAGTCTATGTTTCGTTTCGTCAGCAACTTCATTCCTCGTTAGTACCAGATATATATGCGAAAAAGGAAACAGTAGCTACAGCAATAATAAAAACTGACACTTTAAAGAAAAAGTAATCAAGAGCTAAACTGACATCTTTCCATGAGATAGTTTTATCATTTTGTGTACCTTCATATTTCTCTTCTTCTACTAAGTTATTGCTTTCAACAGTGTTTGTCATTGAGCTTCTCTGAAAAGGTAATCTACCATTTATCATAGGACGGTAAAACGTTCCCCTATGTATTTGAAAATACGATTCAGTTATTACACATCGTTATTTTTAGTGTAATTTTTAACATTTGCAATATGGTTTGCATACGTTTTTGCTCTCTTGGTTACTGTTTTGGATTTCGTTGTCGAATGTTTACGTTTGTGAGTTTTGTTTCTACACTTGCATTGCAAGAGTTTTGTGAAACCGGCAATCCATTCAGGAACAGGATCGTTCTCATCTTTGTAATACAGATGCACATTAAAATCGTAACAATAGTTATTCCTATGCTTATATTATCAGAACTGCTAGTAAATAGTAACCGAAAAATGACATTGGACTCGACGTTTTTGTAAGGTTATCTCCGACGAGCGTCAGGAAAACGGCAATAGCCAAAAGGACTGTAATGCTATAAGATATTCGTTCACCACTTTCTACAGGAATAACGAAAACCATTGTATTTAAAAACGCCATGAAAATAATCGGGAGGATTACATTTACAAAAACATACATTGGTTTTCTTTTAAGATATAAAACAAAATCAATTGAATTGCCTCCATAACTTGTCTCAACACCAGAATGATAAAACGCCCATGCCCCGTTTTCGGAAAAGTATGATGTAAGCACTTTGTCGTCTGTAGGACCTAAAACTAGCTCAGTGTTTAATTGGCCCCAGGGAGCAAAGTTAAAGCTACATTTATGTCTGTCCCATAGGTAAAAAGTCACATCAACCCGACACGAAGCAGAGAAAACGTCACCAGGATAATAAAATGTTTCACCGTTCGGAAAAAAGCGAATCAGCTGCCAGTCATCGCCTATCTTCTCAAGTTTATTAACGTTGTTTACTAAAACCAAATTCTGTGTCCATACACTGTCACTTGCAATCACGAGTTGCTCAAGACCTCCATAGTCGTTTGGGTCCCATCTCATAAACTCATCGGTCCAGTTTAATAGAAGAATTGCAGTAATAGTTAGCTGTTCTTTCACTTCATCGAATTCTTGAATTGACATTAGTTCGAACCCTACAGACAATTTTAACGGCTCGGATTGGTTTAGTACAGGTCTAATACGTTTCTCGTAACCCAGCATTTTATCAGCTAGCAGCTTTTTGCATCGTTTGCACTATGGCAATAGATACTGCTGATGAATAAGGAGAGGCAAACAATGCGTTGGAAGATTGATGCGTGATTGCTGGTCATATCTGTACTTTTTATAATCCTGAAAAATTGAAAGCTTTATCAAAGAATAACACAGACACAAACATATACAATTTTAAATTATTAGAACTTTACTACAAGCCAAATTGCCTGAAGAGCAAGAGATAGTTCATGTATATATCAACAATATGTATACTCTACAAATGGGGATGTTTTATACCTTCATCAAGATCTGCACGTACATATTGATTAGGAGAGTCAAATGGTAAACAGAATACTAGGACCAAACAAAACAACTATTAAAATAAACCACAATTATTTACAATGTAACCGAAGTAGAGCTCATACCTTCAAAATTTTACTAAAAAGAATAAAACTTGAATTCCATTGCAATGCCACCTTTATGTTTTTTATCATTAGAAGTAATCAAAATGCACTTACACATTAATATATGAGAGATGATCCAGAAATTGAAATAAAGCTGTAAATTATTTAATGATATTAATTGTATGTAATGAATATAAGGCATCAATATAGTGTTTATTATGTCAACATTTAATAAATTTTATTAAATGATGGCATAATAAACACTATATTGATGCCTAATTATCTTCTTTACAAGGAAACAAAAATCATAACAATTAAACACATTATGGTCACAACGTGCATATCTAAGAACAATTAGTAATTTAATAGATGAAACAAACAGTTTTATGAAGAAAACAGCATGACATTTATCAGAAACACATTTCGGGTAATTGTTGACCACCCCTCGTACTCTTAAACCATCACAATAGGCAATCCTATTACCTTGTCCCAAGTCAAAATGTGTCAAACTTGTCACAACAATGTACAAATTAAACTCTTTAATAATCCTTAAATCTCCAATAATGCAGACAAACTATTCATATGTATTCCTTATCCGTGCAAGCTATTTTATTTTTGTTTAAAGATTTGTCCCCAAATTCTTGTTCGTCTGTCGTTAATACATACGACATTAATTTTCTTAAGACATAAAAATGGTGGTTATTTTTTCTTCTCGGGTTTTTGAAACATTATTCTTTTCATTTCATTACTTTCAGTGAAATCAAAATCATTACAGTCACGTATTTGTGCCTTTAAAATAAACAGAGGATTTATGATGAATATTATATAAAATGTTATTAACAGTTTGTAATTGTTTAGTAAAATGGAATGTTAATGTGAATGATGAAATCTCTCTGGACAAAACAAAACATGTTTAGATATTAAGGTCTGATCTTCCTATACAATTTGCTATTCTTATTGATTGATTATTTTGGGAAAATGGTTTGCTTAATTGCTTTTTTAAGTGGTAATGGGATCTTATTGTTTCTCGATCGGTTTTAGATAAAGTGAATCTCCATAGATACAAAGTAATATATGAACTGTGTAGCCTAATGAAAAGATAATATCGACATTTCATTTTTTTAAGTGAGATCAATACATGTTTTTGTTGAGAGAGGTTTCATGTTACAGCAAACTATAACAAAGCATGGCAGATTTCCGGTACTATTTATTTGTAACGCTGATTTTTATTGCGTAACCATGACGTTTACTTCACGAGGGTATTAAACCGACATGTGTAATGCATGTATATTGTTCGTCTTTATGTCAAATGTATTATGTCCTAGTGCATTTCCAGTATTAAAATTTGTCAGTTTGCTTTTAAATTATCTTTTTTGTATATCTCCTGTATCAGATAACCGCCCTTGTTATTTTCCGGTTTGCATTCATTGTATTCTTTCATTGCAACATGTAGTAATTAATGTCATATCTGCTCACAACCATATAAAGTATATATTATTAATATTACTAGGATTATAACACTGCACTTAATCTTTATAACTAATAATATAATATTTATCAGACTTTGTACTTCCTTGACTAGACAGGTGTGAAAAATTATAAGACTCATACGAGTAGAGTATTGCGTTTATTTTCTGTGATTACTCACATTCATTAGAATTAGAAATATCAGCAACGCTACAAATTGTAATGGCGAAAACGTGGAAAATTTTGAACGATGTAACTTCTCGTATAAAGAAGGCGTCGCAATGTTCAATTACTAGTCCTAATTTAATTCTGCTCAGTAGTTAACCAACGAAACAACAATTTTAGATATGAATATTATAAGCCACTTTTGCTATGTAAGAGGCACACTATGCTTTAGAAATCCATGTTTGTTTTTAAATATTTGAAATGTCAATAATGTGTTTAAAATGTTTTGATAATGGACTTAGAACATGGTAGATGTTTAACAACTGAAGAAAATAGCACTGTTTGTATTTGAAGTAATGTGTCAGACATGTAACAAACTGAACACAAAGTAGTATTTTGACTGCCATACAAAACATTTATTTACTATTTGTATACAAAAGACGAACAAATCAAAAGAAGCACATTCAGATAGTTCATCTATATAGCAAATGACTAATTACCTTTTTTGGAAACTGTAACAAGATACCAAAAAATAAAATGTTTTTGAGAAATGAAATTGATAGCATATCTGATGCATGGGCCTTTTAGTGACATTAATTCTTCATTAAATGCTTAAAAATGAAATATTGAGAAATGTTCATGAACTGGAATGCGTATTTTTATTTTCCGTATTTTCACTGTATTTTTTATCACTGCAGTGAAACATATCTTCTGTATTTTCACTGGTGTCTTGCCAGACTACTTTCTTCTAAATCTAGCCAATACACAAAATTAAAAAGAAATTCTTCCTAGTAGAGAAAAAAGTATTATAATATAATAAACAGAAAATTCAAGTGTTTTCTATTTACTTGGAAGGCACAGTCTGTCCCAGAAACAAATGTATCTTTATTTGTGTTAAGGAAGGTTCATGAGTTTTATTTTTACGTTGAAATAATGGTTTCAGGGAATTTGAGATGCTTATCACCTGAAGAACATAATGCTGAATGTGAAAATACATGTATTTGTAATAAAAGTAACAAAATGTAAACAAGGTAGTATGTTTGGTTTCCATACATAATACAAAATCACTGTCACAGTAACTGTACGAAATGTTAAAAGGCAACAATACCAAAAGATGGTTCAGGAAATAGACCAAAGACCGGTGGATACTATAGCAGGACAGCAACTATTTAAAGGGCTTTCAAAAGAATACAATTTTCAACATTTCTCGGACATTATGGAGCTTTAACTGACAACAAAGTATAGACATATTTATTAAAAAATATTAATAGCCATTCTTTTAATAACAACAAATTCTACTTTTTTGTTAGATATATTTAAAACAAGAAAACTTTATTTTGTTTCAACACAAATTGGTGCAAAACGCAAATACTTATATTACATCATACTAAATATCCACTCTGCTTATTAAATTGGACAGTAAATATTGAAAATGATTTTATTCTTGTTTTGATATATATGTTGGTAATGTTTTTGGTGTTTTCTATGAGTAGATACGTAATGCATAGTTATACACCTACAATACCAAATATGTGTACAAGTATTATTCCACATGACTGTGTAGTGTTATACTTCACCCGAGACAATTAATGTTCAGTGTCCTGACACTCTTCCGGAACTTGATATGTATAATTAAATTAAGAAAAAACTCTTTGCTTATGAAGAACACATAATGACAGATATCCATTGATTTTTGTGTTTCTTTATCAAGCTTGTGCGTTTGCGTGCTCTCGAAATAGTCATTAAACTTTGATTTCGTCTGGAAAAAAATGCCACAAAAGAAGATCCTAAAAAGAAAACATGTTATATGCGTCCGATTACATTTTCCTTATTCTTTGTGTTTAAGTCTCCCATTTATCCAGTCAGAATATTTTAAAAGTATTAACATCATAATCTTTAAAAAAATCTACTTCAAAGAACACTTTAGCTGAAAAAAAAACCTTCTATAGACCATTTGACATTATGAAGAGAATAATATAGTTTTCGTTCGTTCCTATATAAAGAATTTGTATCCGAAGATGCATTGTTTATACACAGTCTATGTTTCGTTTTGTCAGCAACTTTATTCCTTGTTATCCTTGTTAGTACCGGATATATATGCAAAAAATGAAACAGTTGCTACAGCAATAACAACAAATGACACCAAAAAGAAAAAGTTATCAAGAGCTGAACTGACATCTTTCCATGACATAGTTTTGTCATTTTGTGTACCTTCATATTTCTGTTCTTCTACTGAGTTATTGCTTTCAACAGTGTTGGTCATTGACCTTCTCTGAAAAGGTAATCTACCATTTATCATAGGACGGTAAACCGTTCCCCTATGTATTTGATAATAAGATTCAGTTATTACACCTATGTTATTAGTGTAATTTTCAACATTTGCAATATGGTTTGCATACGGTTTTGCTCTCTTGGTTCCTGTTTTGGATTTTGTTGTCGAATGTTTACGTTTGTGAGTTTTGTTTCTACACTTGCATTGCAAGAGTTTTGTGAAACCGGCAATCCATTCAGGAACAGGATCGTTTTCATCTTTGTAATACAGATGCACATTAAGAATCGTAACAATAGTTATTCCTATGCTTATTATCAGAACTGCTAGTAAATAGTAACCGAAAAATGACATTGGACTCGACGTTTTTGGAAGGTTATCTCCGACGAGCGTCAGGAAAACGGCAATAGCCAAAAGGACTGTAATGCTATAAGATATTCGTTCACCACTTTCTACTGGAATAGCGAAAATCATTGTATTCAAAAACGCCATGAAAATAATTGGGAGAATTACATTAACAAAAACATACATAGGTTTTCTTTTAAGATATAAAACAAAATCAATTGAATGGCCTCCATAACTTGTTTCAACACCAGAATGATAAAACGCCCATGCCCCGTTTTCTGAAAAGTATGATGTAAGCACTTTGTCGTCTGTTGGACCTAAAACTAGTTCCGTGTTAACTTGGCCCCAGGGAGCAAAGCTAAAGCTACATTTATGTCTGTCCCATGGGTAAAAGGTCACATCCACCCGACACGAAGCAGAGAAAACGTCACCAGGATAATAAAATGTTTCACCGTTCGGTAAAGCGCGGATCAGCTGCCAATCATCGCCTATCTTCTCAAGTTTATTAACGTTGTTTACTAAAACCAAATTCGGTGTCCATACACTGTCACTTGCGATCACGAGTTGCCTCAAGACCTCCATAGTCGTTTGGGTCCCATCTCATAAACTCATCAATCCAGTTTAATAGAAGAACTGCAGTAATAGTTAGCTGTCCTTTCACTTCATCGAATTCTTGAATTGACATCAGTTCGAAGCTTACAGATAATTCTAACGGCTTGGATTGGTTTACTACAGGTCTTAAACGTTTCTCGTAACCCAGCAATTTATCAGCTAGCAGCTTTTTTGCATCGTTTGCACTATGACAATAGATACTGCTGATTAATAAGGAGAGGCAAACAATGCCTTGGAAGAATAATGCGTGATTGCTGGTCATATCTGTACGTTTTATAATCCTGAAATATTGAAAGTTTTATCAAAGAATAACACAGACACAAACATATACAATTTTAAATTATAATAACTTTACTAATAGCCAAATTGCCTGAAGAGCAAGAGATAGTTCATATATGTATACTCTACAAATGGAGATGTTTTATACCTACATCAAGATCTGCTCGTACATATTGATTAGGAGAGTCAAATGGTAAACAGAATACTAGGACCAAACAAAACAACTATTAAAATAAACCACAATTATATACAATGTAACCGAAGAAGAGCTCATACCTTCAAGATTTTACTAAAAAAATATAAAACTTGAATTCCATTGCAATGCCACCTTTATGTTTTGAATATTAGAAGTAATCAAAATGCACTTACACATTAATATATGAGAGATGACCCAGAAATTTAAATAAAGCTATTAATTATTTAATTATATTAATTGTATATACTGAACATTTATTAAATGTTGACATAATAAACACTATATTGTTGCCTAATATATCTTCTTTACAAGGAAACAAAAATCTTAACAATTAAACACATTATGGTCAACACGTGTATATCTAAGAAAAATTATTAATTTAATAGATGAAACAAACAGTTTTATGAAGAAAACAGCATGACCTTTATCAGAAACACATTTCGGGTAATTGTTGACCACGCCTCGTACTCTTAAACCATCACAATAGGAAATCCTATTACCTTGTCCCAAGTCAAAATGTGTCAAACTTGACACAACAATGTACAAATTAAACTCTTTAATAATCCTTAAATCTCCAATAATGCAGACAAACTATTCATATGTATTCCTTATCCGTGCAAGCTATTTTATTTTCGTTTAAAGAATTGTCCCCAAATTGTTGTTCGTCTGTCGTTAATACATACGACATTAATTTTCTTAAGACATAAAAATAGTGGTTATTTTTTCTACTCGGGATTTTGAAACATTATTCTTTTCATTTCATTACTTTTAGTGAAATCAAAATCATTACAGTCACGTATTTGTGCCTTTAAAATAAACAGAGGATTTATGATGAATATTATATAAAATGTTATTAACAGTTTGTAATTGTTTAGTAAAATGGAATGTTGATGTGAATGATGAAATCTCTCTGGACAAAACAAAATCATGTTGAGATATTAAGGTCAGATCTTCCTATACAATTTGCTATTCTTATTGATTGATTATTTTGGAAAAATGGTTTGCTTAATTACTTTTTAAAGTGGTAATGGGATTTAATTGTTTCTCGGTTTTAGATATAGTGAATCTCCTTGGATACAAAGTAATATATGAACTGTGTAGCCTAATGAAAAGATAATATCGACATTTCATTGTTTTAAGTGAGATCAATACATTTTTTGTTGAGAGAGGTTTCAGGTTATACTATAACAAAGCATGGCAGAAGGTCTCCAGTACTATTTATTTGTTACGCTGATTTTTATTGCATAACCATGACGTTTACTTCACGAGGGTATTAAACCGACATGTGTAATGCATGTATATTGTTCGTCTTTATGTCAAATGTATTATGCCCTAGTGCATTTCCAGTATTAAAATTTGTCAGTTTGCTTTTAAATTATGTTATTTGTATATCTCCTGTATCAGATAACCGCCCTTGTTATTTTCCGGTACTTTTTTCTGTATTTGCATTCATTGTATTCTTTCATTGCAACATGTAATAATTAATGTCATATCTGCTCACAATCATATAAAGTATTTATTACCCCTCACTTTTTTCGTAATGCTAATTTCCCATAGGCCTCTGGGAGTTATTTTTACTGTTAATGCAAGTGTACCACGTGACTAAGAATTTTGTACTGTTACATAGGTAACAGTATTTTTTTAAGAGGTCACGTGGTCTATTTCCTAAATAAAATGACATAAAATGGCCGCCATTTTTTTCTCGATTCATTCTTATTTTCAACTTTAAACCACGATAGAACATCAATTTCTCCTCTGGAGTCCCTATGACACTCATAAAATTTAGTTGTTTGCACCCTGGTGTGCTTTTCGCGTATAAAATATCTTTTTGCTGAATAGTCAAAAAGTGAACATCCGTTTTCAACGGAAGTAATTGCAATGTAAATAATTATGTGTCAAACTGGAACATGCAGACGATTTAAGCATGCAACAAAGGATTATTTAACAAATTTAATCAGTGAAACGTTACAAATATGGTGGACAGACATAGGATATCATCGTTATTTTGTCAAAAACCATGCGAAGAATATTCTGGAAACAGAAGGATCAGATTTCACAGATCATAACCGTGTAAATGGGTTAGTGTTTTGTTTTCTAAACAAAAACCTAGCTTATTGTATGTTTATGATTTGTAGATATCATCACTTGCTTAAAGGATAAAAGAAAAAGAAAACTTCTCAAGTAGGCCTACAGTAAAGTACACTTAAAACTTAAAAGGTAAGGACAGTTTAGTTATTGTTACTCTTGGTTTATTTTTGTTACAGTTAGATTCAGTTGACAATTTCAGATCATCTCAGTATTTTTGTTCGGGGTAATAAAATAAATAACACATGGGTTTGTGAGTAACAGTAAAAATATCATCCCTCGTAAAAATACTGTTACCCTCGGCTACGCCTCGGGTAACAGTATTTTCCTCGGGATGATATTTTTACTGTTACCCACAAACCCATGTGTTATTTATATAATATTATTTATATTACTAGGATTATAACACTGCACTTAATCTTTATAACTAATAATATAATATTTATCAGACTTTGTACTTCCTTGACTAGACAGGTGTGAAAAATTATAAGACTCATACGAGTAGAGTATTGCGTTTATTTTCTGTGATTACTCACATTCATTAGAATTGGAAATAACAGCAACGCTACAAATTGTAATGGCGAAAACGTGGAAAATTTTGAACGATGTAACTTCTCGTATAAAGAAGGCGTCGCAATGTTCAATTACTAGTCCTAATTTAATTCTGCTCAGTAGTTAAACAACGAAACAACAATTTTAGATATGAATATTATAAGCCACTTTTGCTATGTAAGAGGCACACTATGCTTTAGAAATCCATGTTTGTTTTTAAATATTTGAAATGTCAATAATGTGTTTAAAAAGTTATGATAATGGACTTAGAACATGGTAGATGTTTTAACAACTGAAGAGAATAGCATTGTTTGTAATTGAAGTAATGTGTCAGACATGTAACAAACTGTACAAAAAGTAGTATTTTGACTGCCATACAAACCTTTAATTCACTATATGTATACCAAAGACGAACAGATCAAAAGAAGCACATTGAGATAGTTCATCTTTATAGCAAATGACTAATTACTTTTTTGGAAACTGTAACAAGATACCAAAAAATAAAATGTTTTTGAGAAATAAAATTGATAGCATATCTGATACATTGGCCTTTTAGTGACATTAATTCTGTATTAAATACTAAAAAATGAAATATTGAAAAATGTTCATGAACAAAAATGTGTATTTTAACTTTCCGTATTTCACTGCAAGTCTTTTTCACTGCAGTGAAGAATATTTTCTGTATTTTCACTGGTGTCTTGCCAGACTACTTTCTTCTAAATCCAGCCAATATACAAAATTTAAAAGGAATTATTTCTATTCATAAGGTTAAAAAAGAGAAAAGGTATTATAATATAATAAGCAGAAAATTCAAGTGTTTACAGGATTTATTTTCATCTTCTGGTATTAAAGTTATCAGCTGCTGCCACTCATGAAATATATATTTTCATACCCCTCGATGAAATAAATTCTGTATTCATAGAAGAAACTTGAATATCCTTTATTTATTTAAAGTTTAAAAACTTTTTTCTTATGACAAACGTATTTATTCGAATATAAATAGCTTACTCACTGATTTTATATGAATGAGTAAATCCTAGACTTTGTTTTTAACGATATGTTCCTTAATTTATATAGCATAATCAAAAGCAGCGTAATCTAATTTGCACACATAATGTATATCAATAATCACATTTATTTAATTAATCCCTTTGAATTCTTATTTTAATCCGATTTAACGGTGAAATTGTATATAATTAAACTGTAAATTAATGTACATTTTCAAATACTGAACTTTTAGCATGACTGATTTATAAATCATGCAAATATTCAATGAATGAATCAATCAATCAATCAATTCAATCAATCAATGAAGGAAGGAAGGAAGGAACGAACGAACGAACGAACGAATAGATAAATAAATAAATAGATAAAGAAAGAAATATAAGTAATAATCCGTATTGTATATCTGAGTTACAGTTGATATAAAGTAACAGCATGTTTACAAAATTGAATTTATCATTAAATTCAAAACAGAGTTTGCCGTAAGTACATAAAAAGTAACATACATGTATTCGGTTTCAAGAGATATAAAAAATTTTTTAACATCATTTTTGTAATTATTTCATTAGCGGCACATTAACTACACACACAATAATTTAAAAATATGAAATGAAAATAACGTAGAAGTTGAGATGTAGTTAATTTACCGGTCAAACTATATTTGTTTTTACTTTAATATATGCTAATTGCTTGCATTATGAACATATATATTAAATCAGGAAAACCATCACTTGTCCGTACGTAAGTGACTTACGATATTGGCATACAAAAGTAATTTTTGAAAATCAAATTTGAGAACAAACATGAACGAAGCCGAGCGACCACTGCAAAAGTACCAAGCAGAACAAAAACCAGAAACTGGAGAAAGTACAAAGAAGGCATACAAGCTGCTGCATGATTGCAAATAACTCTTGGTAGTGATAAAGTAGTAAGAATATGCAAAACAAATCAATTGTGCTCTTTAATGAATTAAATTGGCGCTTGTTTTTCATTTCAGATCGTTTTTGCATGACTGTTATAATTCAGAACATTTGTAGAGATTAGAATGCGTTGCCCTGAGAAATAGTTCACGAATTCGAAATACATGCATCAGAATAATGACAGGTGGTGCTGAGGAAGATCTATGTTGCATTATTTTAAATAGGCACTAGCGGGCACATGTGTAGAATCACCGTCTATCTGGAAAAAAGCTCCTTCATACGAAAATATCCAATGTTCCTGACGGGATTGAACTCCATAGCGGCAAGGGGTAAGTGATTTTAAGTGACCTTTTAAAAATCTTTCCACCAAAGGCCCTTATAGCTTCCTAGGTTAGTACTAGTGGATACAATATGTTTCCGTGACATAATAATATAGTTTATATAACATTTCATATCATATTATATATTATAAATAATATATTATTTATAATATAATATATATAATATATATATAATATTTATAATTTATAAACTGCTTTTCTGTCGCTTAAGATCTGAATACGACGCTTTCACTTTTCGTTCTTCCATTTAAAAAACGTTGGGTTAGTTAAAAAAAAATATCGCGGTAGTCTCCCTTGAAAAGAATACTCTCCAAAAAGAAGATTATTGTCAAATGTAAACAATCAACCTTCGTAAAAACAGGTCGTTTTCTTCCTAGATTACATTGCTGTCAAGATAGATTAGAAGGTAAATCCGACTTTATCATCATCTATAATTATGTCATTGACAAATGTAAACATGACCTAGCTGCAAAACACTTCTATTTATAGACGTTAATTAGAATTTCTAGTTTTCTACTTTCTGTTTATGTCAGCGGAAATAAAAGTTATTGATTAAACTATAATACAAGGAAAGCTTTTTATCTTCGATTTCCAATATAGTAGACTTTATATTATTGATTGAATTAATCAATCTTGAATAACTCCTCTGGAGACAAAACAGATTAAATCTGAATTTAAGTAACTTTTGGATTCACTGTTTTTAAAATTTTGGTAATTTGATTGTACTTTCTCTTATTCAAAATGGATTTTTCATTAGGTGTTAAAATGTCGGACCCTATGGAACCCGTGTTGCTATATGCTCATCCAAGTATGGACCATTTAGCTAAGCAAATTGTTGAAGGTTGTCGGCAGACAACATCTCCAGTTTCCTCGCCAACCACATTAGAACCAGGAAAGTTACCAAATGGAAAAGCTCCTGTAAGATTATTATGTTGTTTGATAAAAATGCATGACTAAGTGGCACGTCAACACTGTATATTTGTATTTAGAATGGAACGCTTTGTCTTAAAATGTTACACTTAGCCATTGGTAGATGCTTAATTTTGCATCTGTTTGGTAATTTTAATTTTAATTTGCACAAAATTGATTTCATTGATCTTTTTTTCTATTGACATTGCTGTTCAGCAAATTAAGCAATTGAATGAGAACTTTCAATACCTTAAATGAAAATTGTAAAGAGCATTATCTAGATGCTATAAAATAAATAATGCTAAACATTATTACACTAACCCTGGTTTGATTAAAAGCAAACTAGCAGGTTATAATGTCCATGTGTCAGTCACTGTTTAGAACTGTTCATTAATTAGGAGAGAACTTCAGAGAAGATGTGCAATATAACGGGGTAGTATATCAGTAATCATGATTCAGAACTGTTCACTATTTAGTGTGTAAGTGGCTGGATAGCTCAGTTGGTAAAGCCACGGAATGATATTCTGGGGGTCCTGGTCAGGCTGAACCATTTTTCTCATCCTGTGACACATACAACAAGATTTTTAATAGTTTTATTTTCTATATTGTTGCCTATCAGACAGTATTATCTTCACCGGTGCTAGAAAAACCTGTCTTACACCCCCCTCCATGTAAGACAAGTTGCATGCTTAAATGACATCATTGCCGCATGCCTTTTATGGATGAATAGTGTTCTTAGGATGACATCATTTTACTGTTATGAATGAAGTTGTAAGTTCATTACCTCCTACAGGAAAAAATGCGCATAATGAGATTATCAATTTTCGTAATTTCTGTTCTGAAAATTGTTGATATGTAATATGCAAGAAAAAGAATCAAACACTGCTGTTGCTACAAATGGGAATATCTAGCTCTAGACTCAGGTAACTGTTTAGCAGAAACTTGGCACAGCCTCGTTACCACTGTAAAAAGTTTCCCTCAAGCTAGATATTCTGTCTGTACTGGCAGCCAGTGTAAGATTCTTGATATCAATACTTGAAAAAGGGTGAGCAAGAAATAAATTAACATACAGTGTTCTTATTTGTTTAGCCAATTAAAGGTTTGATTCATTTGAAATTCATATTCTTCAATTGTTATGTTAATTTCTATTATGTTAAGAATATGCATAAAAGTAAATTATAAATGTCAGTGTGTATACTTTTTTATAGACAGATAAATATTTAGTTTCAAAAAGAAGCAAAAAGTAACGAAACATTCGAGTGTAAAGAAGGGTATCCATCATCAGTTGATTTTAATTTTTTTATTAAAAAAACATTCTACATGTATTTAGACTTTAACAAGATACAATTAGATTTCTTTTGTTTGTCAGTTTCACAGATCCCTTTCTACTGCTGCAATATTGGGAAACAAAAGCAGAGGTGTAGTTTATAGAAACACTATAACATGGGGCAGATTTCAAGATGGATTTCCAAATCTATTTATTCAAGATGTTCATGTGTTGGCTGGAAAAGATGGTAAGATACTCAATCTGTCTGACTAAAGTTCAGATCTACTTATTTCTTTTATGTAGATCTGATGTCGATCATATATAATTCGCCTTCTTTATAATTCGGAATTCCGAGAGTTATTTTTAGCCATGCAATCAAAAGGTTTTTACATAGGCATAAGAAGTATCAAAATACAGTTATCTGTGAAAGTTAAACAAATTGTAGAGTCAATTTTTAATGGGCATGATGGTTTTGCCAGTTTAACCACCGGCTATATGGACAACGCCACGTTTTTTCTCAAAATTGTGAAAATTACCAATCATTATTGGTTTTCTGAGGGTTAACAGTAAAAACAACATCGCTTTCAAAATTATGAAAGCTCGCCAATGATTGGCTGCGTGAAAGGCCACTAGAAATGACTTCGTATTTGGTCACAATAAGATCAAAGAGCGGAGCATTATTTAGAGTTAATTTTAATCAGATTGGTAATATACTGAACAGTTTTACTTTTTGGATAACCAGATTTTTTACTTTAGGACCATATTGAACGTGTTGAAAGGATAATGTTAGTACTGTAATTCCTAGGCGTGCAGAGAACAGATGTTTCAAAGGTTAAGGGATTTCATTGTCAGCAACAGTATAGAATCCGGTCAGACTGCAGGAAAGTTCAGATTGATCTTGCTTTATACTAAATTCAGATGGCAATTGTTAATCATTTTGGAGTCTAGCAGGATGAGGAGAAGATATGTAAACATTCTACTGCAGGGTTTGAAATATAAGTAACCGCAAAATTGTGACTTCCATTATTTTGTGGTGGGGTAGCAAGTTAAAACTTATCTGTTTGCCACATCAACTGAAAGAAGGACAGAAGTACTAAATTCAGAATGAAGAATTGTTATATTTTCAAATGCAATTATGATTGTCAATTTATATGATTTAATTTCAGTTATATTCATAGGAAGTTTCCATGACCCAAGTGTAATATTTGAACAACTATCAGTGTTATACATGTTTCCAAGGTAAGAAGTTTAACCACTAACAGTGTGTTCTCATATTTGTTGGATTTTAACTTGCCACAGATAATTCATTGTTCATTATTCCAACTGTTGTGATAGTTTAATGCTAGTGATACCCATACACATACATCTTTCAAAGCATACTAATATCTTAAAGGCACATCATGGCTAAGACACAATGTTTTCCTTCTTTAGAACTGTCAAAATAGGTTATATACTGTGTAAATAATGGTTTTAGAGCATGTTAATTGCTTATCACGTGACAAATCTAAAATTATTTGCCATAAAAGTAGATTTTTTTTTATTAAAGGTACTTGGCCAGATCATTTCATTTCATCTTACCATATTTTCCGACGGGCACAATGGAAAGAGTTGATACAGAGGGCCAGATAGCTACAGCAAAGGCAAGTTTATCAAGATGCTACATGTAACATTTTTATATTGGCTATTCAAAGAATAAGGAGAGCTATTGTGCTTAACCAGGCTTGCCAACATTTTTTTGTTTTGTTTTTGCTTGCATGTTGGTATTTCAATAAAGTTGATCATAATTATAAGTTACAAAAAGCATTACATACAAAGATTTGACCAAATGTTACATGTAAATAAAGGGAGTTAATTAGAAATATATTTCTTGTAGCATCTTGCCAATAGTCATATTTTCATTAAATATGTATGACTTTGTATATTATTTTTAAAACATATTAATTTATTTTTTTATGTAAATATACTAGCAAATCCTTGAATGTTTTAAAATTGTTGGAAGGAAACTGATATACAATGTACATGCATATTATTATGGTTAGTTAACATTTTCGAAAACCTAGCTGTTTTCTAACACTGTTTTCTATTACTTTGCTGATTTAGCTCTGGAGAATTACACCTTATTAAGTACACAAAGTTATAATGTGATATTTCTATTTATTATTATTACTTTACCATTTAAGGCAGAAAAAACTTGTTGTGTTAGAAAATTATTAACGTTTCTTTACTATCTGTCTCTAATTTTACAATCATTACAACATACAGGATCTTTAATGCAACTTACAGAATTTTTGTCTTGGAACCAATCAGCTATGGTATCATATGAGGGTACATGGTCATGACCTAATTACTTGCCTCTCTGGGCATTATTTCAGAAACAAATGGGCACCTTAGTTAGGGCAGCCCATGTTCTGTAAGCTAGCTGGATAGCTTCCTCACATGAAAAAATCCCTTAAGAGTCCCTTAAGAGATTCAACCCCACAGTGGTGAGGGCAAATGGTTTGAAGTCAACAACTTTAGCAAATGACCTAAACCACTTGGCCACAGGCACCCCGAAGGATATCCCCAAGTTACCTGTATTGTTTACTGTTTATCAATTAATATTTCAGACTTTGGCCATCATGATGTCTTCAATTCCTCTAACAGCTAGGGGCCCTGTACAGATCTGTATATTTGATATTCATGCCTTACAAGAGAGGTTCTACTTCTCAGATAATGTTATACCAAGGTAACGTGACTTAGCTGTTACAGAAACAGTAGTGCTTTTTAATCAATTACTTTTTTAGCTCACCTGTCACAAAGTGACAGGGTGAGCTTTTGTGATCGCTTTTTGTCCGTCGTCCGTCCGTCGTCCGGCGTCCGTAAACTTTTACTTTAAATGACATCTCCTCATAAACCACTAAGCCAATTTCATCCAAACTTCACAGGAATGTTCCTTTGGTGGTCACCTTTGAAAATTGTTCAAAGAATTTAATTCCATGCAGAACTCTGGTTGCCATGGCAACCAAAAGAAAAAACTTAAAATATCTTCTTGTAAAAAACCCAAAGAGCTAGAGCTTAGATTTTTGGCATGAAACATCTTCTGGTGAGTGTCTACCAAGTTTGTTCAAATAAAAGCCCTTGGGCCGAAATTGGCCCCGCCCCAGGGGGTCATTGATTTTCCCTATATGCATATACAGTAGAACTTCGGTAAGTCGAAGTTGAAGGGACTTACGTAAAAACTTCGACACATCGGGACTTCGACTCATAGATCGCTCTCAATTCCATGGCAAAACTTCGACCAATTACTAGTCCTAATTATAAGATCTATAACGAAACCTTTTTCATGTTTTTCCATCATTAATCTGATATTTACATTTTACAATGATAAATATAGCATGTTAAATAACACGGCTTATTATTTGAACTTCCCGTTGACGTATACCGTAGAGTTACAAAAGGCGTAACAGTACGAAATGGCGATAACTAAACCAGCTTATAGTAAATATTTCGCGTGTTATTCTCACGCGACACCAGGTCAAGGATGTTTCCAAATGAAAGTAGTTCTTGCTGTTTACTTTCAAATACCACTACGGCAATTGAAATAGAAACGATTAAAGCATTTTATCACACATTTTATCGCAAACAAAGGCTGTTTGTACACACACGACTGTGTAATTAACACCTGTCACACAAGTTGATTGGAAATCGTCTTCGCAGCCAGATAAGGTGTGAAAAATGTCTCGAGATCGAAGGTGTCAAAATTATCGACTTCGACTTATTTGTGGTAAAGTGCACTAGATTTACTTTATACGGACCACGAAAAAACTTCGACACATCGAAAAATTCGACACATAAAATCTCGACTTATAAATAGGTTTTTATAAGGAACATATAGGGGGAAAAGTCGGGACTTTCATTTTTCTTCGACACATCGAGAAAATCGACTAATCGAAGTTCGACTTATAGAAGTTCTACTGTAGTAAAAACTTAAAAAATCTTCTTTTAAAGAACCCAAATAGCTAGAGCTAAGATAATTAGCATGAAACATCTTCTAATGAGTGTCTACCAAGTTTGTTCAAATAAAAGCCCTGGGGTCAAAATTGGCCCTGCCCCAGGGGGTCATTGATTTTCCCTATATGCATATAGTAAAAACTTAAAAAATCTTCTTTTAAAGAACCAAAAGAGCTAGAGCTAAGATATTTAGCATGAAACATCTTCTAATGGATGTCTACCAAGTTTGTTCAAATAAAAGCCCTTGGGTCAAAGTTGGCCCCACCCCAGGGGGTCATTGATTTTCCATATATACATATAGTAAAAACTTAAAAAATCTTCTAAAAAAACCAAATAGCTAGAGTTTAGATATTAAACATGAAACATCTTCTAGTGATTGTCTACAAAGTTTGTTCAAATAAAAGCCCTTGGGTCAAAATTGGCCCCACCCGGAGGTCATTCATTTTCCCTATATGTGTAAAACTATAGCAAAAATTGAAAAATCTACTTTGAAATAACTCAAATAGCTAAAGTTAAGATATAAAGCACGAAGCATCTTCTAGTGAGTGTCTTCAAAGTTTGTTCAAATAAAAGCCCTGGAGTCAAAATTGGCCCCGCCCCGGCGGACATTGAATTTCCTTATACGAGTATAGCAAAAACTTAAAAATCTTCTTTGAAAAAAACCCGAATAGCTAGAGTTTAGATATTAAGCATGAAACATTTTCTAGTAAGTGTCTACAAAGATTGTTCAAATAAAAGCCCTGGGGTCAAAACTGGCCCTGCACCAGGTGTGTCATTGTTTTTAACTATATGTGTAAAGAAAAAACTTAAAAAAATCTTCTTTTAAAAATCCCAACGAGCTAGACCTTAGATGTTTAGCATGAAACATCTTCTAATGGTTGTCTACCAAGTTTGTTCAAATTAAAGCCCTGGGCTTTAAACTGGCCCTGCTCTGGGGGCCTATGTACAGGTGAGCGACTTCAGGGCCATCATGGCCCTCTTCTTGTACTTTTTTTGGAATTACTTTGACAAAGATTTTTTAAACAATTTCTGTTTATCCTTTTATGCATATATCTGAATATTTTCTCTCAGAAATAGGAAAAAAACCCAAAAAAACCTAAGTCTAAAACTTTTACATGGTAAATCAATAACAATAATGTTATCCTTTATTTAACAATTTCACCTATAACTGTGTCTCAATATGAATCATGTCATACGGCACATGACAAAAATATAACATAGCACACAGCACATTATACAACATATTTTATGACACACAATGTATGATACATATAATTATATCTTTACACATAACATAGAATGAAAAATATGTTATGACATATAGCACATATTTCAATATGTATCATGCATATGTAACAATTTATCACATAAACCATGGGCAAGAGTGTAATAATTAAAAGCCTTTTAATAAAAATGATATTACACTAGTGTAATAACACTTTGATGTGCCATCATTTGAGCTATATATATATATTTAAACATAGTGTTAAAGAGCGCTAATGTTAGCATTACATTATTGGCGCGTCAATGAAATATGACTCAAATGGATGTCTACCAAGTTTGTTCAAATAAAAGCCCTGGGGTCAAAATTGGCCCCGCCCCGGGGGGTCATTGATTTTCCCTATATGCATATAGTAAAAACTTAAAAAATCTTCTTTTAAAGAACTCAAAGAGCTATGGCTAAGATATTTAGCATGAAACATGTTCTAATGAGTGTCTACCAAGTTTGTTCAAATAAAAGCCCTGGGGTCAAAATTGGCACTGCCCAGGGGGTCATTGATTTTTCCTATATGCATATAGTAAAAACTTTAAAAAATCTTCTTTAAAAGAACCAAAAGAGTTAGAGCTAAGATATTTAGCATGAAACATGTTCTAAGAAGTGTCTACCAAGTTTGTTCAAATAAAAGCCCTGGGGTCAAAATTGGCCCCGCCCCGGGGGGTCATTGATTTTCCCTATATGCATATAGTAAAAACTTAAAAAATCTTCTTTTAAAGAAATCAAAGAGCTATGGCTAAGATATTTAGCATCAAACATGTTCTAATAGGTGTCTACCAAGTTTGTTCAAATAAAAGCCCTGGGGTCAAAATTGGCACCGCCCAGGGGGTCATTGATTTTCCTTATATGTGTATAGCAAAACTTAAAAAATCTTCTTTGAAAAAAAACCCCAAATAGCTAGAGTTAAGATATTAAGCATGAAACATCTTTTAGTGAGTGTCTACAAAGTTTGTTCAAATAAAGCCCTGGGGTTCAAAATTGGCCCCGCCCCGGGGGTCATTGATTTTCTTTATATATGTGTATAGCAAAAACTTAAAATCTTCTTTGAAAAAAACCCAAATAGCTAGAGTTAAGATATTAAGCATGAAAACATCTTCTAGTAAGTGTCTACAAAGTTTGTTCAAATAAAAGCCCTGGGGTCAAAACTGGCCCGGCCTCAGGGGTGTCATTGTTTTTAACTATATGTGTATAGTAAAAACTTAAAAAAAATCTTCTTTAAAAAGCCCAATGAGCTAGAGCTTAGATGTTTAGCATGAAACATTTTCTTATGGGTGTCTACCAAGTTTGTGCAAATAAAAGCCCTTGGGTTAAATTGACCCTGCAACATTGGGGGGGGGGGGTTGGGGGGACTATATACAGGTGAGCGACCTCAGGGCCATCATGGCCCTCTTGTTAAATATGTGAAATAGAATATTATATTCATGTAGATTCAATACTATTGAACTCGTTCAATAAAACAATATTATGCTCGCCAGAGGCTGGCATAATATGATTTTATTCAACTCACTCGATAAGTTTAGCATTAAACCTAGACTCATTCATTATCCTCTATATGTTTCATTCATATATTACAGTTTATGATACTGCACATTTGTAACATCGCTTTTCATTGGATTATCATGATTTTTTTTTATAGTTTTATGTACACAGCTACTGTCAATACATGAAGAAATCTCACTTTGTCCTCTAAAAAAAAAGATGCTAACATGTCGTTCGGATGCGCATCATTATATCACTCGGGCTACGCCCTCGTGATATAATTCCCCGCATCCGAACTCCAAACAGTGATGTTATTGAGCAATAAAATCACAGTTTGGGATATATTATTTCTTAAATTACAATATGTATTATTCATATATCACAATATGTATCATGCATATATATATAAAAATATGTTCATATAAATATAATAAAATGTATCATTCATATATAGCAATATGCATCATGTTTATATATCATGTATCATGCATATATTACAATATACAATATATGTCATGTATAATTTTATGAAACAATATGTATCATGTATATAAATTAAATAAATATGTTTTATGAATATATTTTAATATGCAAAAGGTATCATGACACACAGCACATATAATATGTGTCAAATTGCACATGATGATGTATGTATTTTGACTCATGTCACATAATTTTATTCAAATATGGAATTTTTAGCTGGTGAATATGATGTGATATGTATTTGATATGTGATTTGTACTGAAAAAGAATATAATTATTATATTGACCGTGGTGAGTGCATACCTGTTTTATTGTATAATTAAAATTTTATAAATAACTTTTATATGAATTCTTTGATTAGGAAAATGATGTTGCAAGGCAAGATTATAAAGGTAAATGTGTTTATATTATAGATTAGAGTCAGCCATACCCCTCCTGCTGTCCACAATCAAGACTTTACCAGATAAAGGTAACATTGCCATAGCCTTCCCAGATGATGGTGCCTTCAAACGATTCCATATGTTCTTTCCAGAGTTTGATACTATTACTTGTGTAAAGATAAGAGATGGTGGAAAAAGGATAGTAAAAGTGAAAGACGGTAAATAGATATTCATCTCTACTATTTGATCAATGTTATGGTTATCCTTCCTGTTACAGCGCCATATATGACCCAAATCGTGTTGGTGTACCATAATACCAAACAAAACAGAAACAAAATCTTACTTAACCTTGTGTCACAGTTACACCTTGGTTTAAGATTAATATCTAATTTCTGATTTCATTAAAGGCACATAATGCTTTAGAAATAAATAATTAACTATACTTCAGAAGGTAAAAACATGCATTTAAAATGTTTTTTGATAATGAATTTAACACATGTTAGGTGCACATCACTGGTTGAAAGAAGTGCAGAATGTGAAATAAGGATAATTAATACAAAATACTAAATTTACAACTGTACAAAATACCAAAGAACAGGCCAAGGAAGCAATTGATCATTCTGCTTTAAAAGAATTATTTTTTGAAAACTCTTAAGCATCAAATATAAAAAGCTATTTAAAAATAAAAATTATAACTTTTTTGAAGCCAAATGGTCCTTTAAACATTTTTTTTCGAGAAAAGCTGATAATATAATGCATTTTTATAAAAGTCATTCTGTTTAAAGTTTTGTGCCTTGATATTTATAATCATCAAAAAGATAAATAACATATGGCTGTACATGAATTATGTATCTGTAAAACTTTCCATTAGTTTTTGTAAACATAAAATTAATGTTTCTGTTAATATAGGCGATCCAGAAGGCAAGCATGTTGTAATTGTTGACGATCTCGTTCAAACAGGGGGAACACTTATCCAGTGTGGCAAGGTAAGTTACTCTTTATAAATGCTTTTTGTATGGTGACTGAGTTGTCTCCCTTTGATTAAAGAAGATAATAATTCCCAATAGTAAGAGTTGCATCTCTTAGAGCTATGATGTGTCTATCAAATAATATGTAAAGATCAATTAATATTTATGTCTATTATTAGTTCCATACTGGTTTACCGGAGGGGACTTAAGGTTACCCTCAGTCCGTCTGTCAGTCCGTAAGTCTGTCCGTCCACAAAACTGGATCCCGCGGTAACTTGAAAAGTACTGAAAATATTAAAAACTGCATTTGACCTTGCAGAAACTGTGTGATAGAAATAAGACAGTGAGTGACAAATCTCAATTTAATGTGTCTTCCATGAAAATATTATTGGTATTAATTGCCTATAGACATGCAGTCAGCTACATTTGGTTCAATAACTTATTAGCATCAAGTCTTATTCATAGCAGTATTTATTGATTTATCAGGTTCTTAAATCAGGATGTTCAAATAGACATAAAAGGGACTCCACTGAGTTTTTTTGACATGACAGAACTGGAAATAAGTTTTTCAAGATAAATGCTCTATTTGATGAAGGTCTACATAAATAACTTGTATGCAAATTTTTAAATCATTCACTCTCTCTGTTTTTCCAGAATGATTATTCCTATTCTGAAAAATGACCAACAAAATTGAAAAGCGTTGCAATGCTTTTCACTCAGATTGGATTTATAGTAGCACACAAATACAATTTTCAATTTATTTGAGTATATTTCTTAATAATCTTTTAATTGTCTTTCTGTTTTAAGTGACCCAGCTAATTTATGGCTATTCAAATTCTATGTTTTAAGGCTTTTGGACCTAAGTGGAGTTTCTGTAAGCCTTACCATGCTAATTTGGTATAAATGTATTTGACCAGCTTTGAATTAGGAAGACTTTATTAAAAGATTTAGGGATTTCAATATATAAAAAATCGATTTCAATCCTAGTCAGGTCAGACTGCATGGTTGTTTTTGTTTTTGCTTTTTAGCTCGACTATTCGAAGAATATGAGAGCTATTGTAGTCGCCCCGGCGTCGGCGTTAGCGTCCGCGTCGGCGTCTGCGTTGGTTAAAGTTTTTTGTAAAGTCAAATATCTCAATTATTGCTTGAGATATTCAATTGAAACTTACAATACTTATTTATAGTAACTAGGTACATCAGATTGACAAGTTGGATAACTCTACCTACAATATTGACAGAATTATGCCCCTTTTTAACTTAGAAATTTTGGTTAAAGTTTTTTGTAAAGTCAATTATCTCAATTATTGCTTGAGATATTCAATTGAAACTTACAATACTTATTTATAGTAACAAGGTACATCAGATTGACAAGTTGGATAACTCTGCCTACAATATTAACAGAATTATGCCCCTTTTTGACTTAGAATTTATGTTAAAGTTTTTGTAATATCTCAAATATTTTCAAAGTCAATTGACATATGGCTTTGAAACTTTGCACACATGTTCCCCATCATGACCCCAACCTTTAGACAGGAGGAGGTAACTGTATCCAGCATTTTGACAGAATTATGCACCTTTTTCGACTTAGAAATTATGTTTTAAGTTTTTGTAATACCTCAAATATTTTCAAAGTCCATTGACATATGGCTTTGAAACTTTGAACACTTGTTCACCATTATAACCCCAACCTGTAGACAGGAGGAGGTAACTGTATCAGGCATTTTGACAGAATTATACCCCTTTTTCAACTAAGAATTTACTTTTAGGTTTACATTCCACCTCAGATATTTTCATATTCTATTGAAACAAGTTGATATTTTATACTTTGAGAACATAATAGGACTCTGTCCAAGGCCTATAACTTTAACATGGATTTAAAGAAAAAATTTGTCCTTTAAATTTGTTATTAACTCTGAAAATTTTACATTATCAAGGCTCTTTTACTATCAAGCACTAAGAATAGTCGAGCGTTGCTGTCCTACCGACAGCTCTTGTTTTTGTCTAAACTTCAAATGGTCAACAGATTGATTCAACAATATTTATAATCAAGGTTTGACAGAAATCAGTCACTTGTGGATGAATTGTCTTCCTTTGGGAGTATATATATTATTTATTTGCAATGACTTTGTCAAGTCTGTCTGCATTCTGAACTTATTTAATTTATGTAATATTGATATAGGTATAATCTGATGAAATTGATAAATGTAGCTTTACTCTATATGGTATCCTCCTTAGCTTCTTAACAAAATATAGATATAAATGCAGGCAGATATTTCATACATTAAGAATATTGGATGAGTGCAGGTTTAATACTTGATTTATTGAACAAGTTGAATAAAATCATATTATGCGAGCATCTGATGAGCATAATTATATTATTTTATTTTTAAATTTTCTTGTACATACATGTACTGTATATTATGTTTATCATGATTGCTGGGAGGTATTTCTTGTAGGAAGGGATGGCATATATATGTATGGTTAGTTCATGGTATTACATAAACTTATGTTATTTTTGTACCATGACTGTATTTGTGGTATGATAAACAATTATTGCTTTTGCAATTACTACTTGTTTATTGCGATTGGAGACAATTATGACACATCTTCATAAACTAGCAAATTAATTGGCATTATTTTGGTTAATGTGGATTACCACATAACAATTGATTCAATAAGTCAAACTCTGATTTAATGATCTGTTTAATTTGAAACTTTTAGTGCACTTGCAGAGGCATTAGAATTTCTATAATTGTTGTATTGAAATGGATGGGATATAAACTTAAAATAATTGCTCAGGGGGTATGACTAGAACAATCTTGCTTCCATCTTGTGATAATTGAAATATTATAGAGTACATATCGTGGCTGATTGATAAAAGACATTGACTCTGAACCCCTTGCTCCTTACTACTGTGGGTTCATATATTGCCAGAGATATTGGTTTCCTTCATGTATAGGACCGCCTCCGTGGTCTAGGGGTTAGAGTCGATGACTTCTAATCCAGTTACCTCTCTGGCATGGGTTCTATCCCCGGGAGATGCTTTGGTAGTTTAGCGCGGAGGAAGGTAGTCTAGTACTGGTGTAACTTTTAAAGAACGATGGTTAGGAAACTACCCGCCTATATGACTGAAATACTGTTGGGAAAAGGCGTAAAATTAAACAAACAAACAAACAAACAAAATCCTTCATGTATAGAGGCTATTCAGTCAGCATACTGAATTTTTGTGGTTCTACTTAGATGCCCACTCATGTCTTAAAAAATCCTTGAAAGGGGGGGGGGGGCTTGCAATCTTTTTCCACCATTAAAGCTGTAAAAGTGAATTATGATCTTATACAGTTTCCGTGTGAAAAAGAAATTTCATTCTTGAATATCTAGATTTGAGTATTCAAAAGTTCTGTCAAAACTATAAGCATAATCTCTCTCGGGCTTCTATAAGCATAATCTCTCTCGGGCTTCTGTAGCAAAGATGTTCAGGGTGTATACTTAAAACCACTTGCCCCTCAAGGCTGAGAGTTCAAATCCTGCCAGGGACTTTGGATTATTTCATGTGAGCAAGCTATCCTGCTTACATTTTGAAGGTTGATTGTTCTTCTTTGGAGCGAGGTCTTACATGAAGGAACTCAAGAGATCTGCCTCCAACAGAAAAGTTTGGTAGTCACCATATTAGTTATTAGCAGTGTTGGTATGAACCTCATTTTTAGCTCGACTAGTCGATAAGAATAAGTAGAGCTATTGTAATCACCCGAGCGTCAGCGTCGGCGTAACCACTTATGTTAAAGTTTTTGTAATAGTTCAAATATTTTCAAAGTCCATTGACATATGGCTTTGAAACTTTGCACACTTGTTCACCATCATGACCCCAACCTGTAGACAGGAGGAGGTAACTGTACAAAGCACTAAGAATAGTCGAGCGTTGCTGTCCTACCGACAGCTCTTGTTTATAACGTTTATCATTCAGGCACTGACTGAAAAAGGAGCAGTGGGAGTGAGCGCTTACGTTACACATGCAGTGTTTCCCAAGGAAAGTTGGAAAAAGTTCGCCGATGGAGAGTTTAAGTTTAAAAATTTCTGGGTGACTGACTCGATTCCCCATGCTGTGGATATATGTACACATGATCCATTTAAATTGCTCTCACTTTGTGAACCAATTGCAAAGATGTTAATGGGTTTTGATCTACGTCAACAGCATTAAGGGATGCGCAATTTTGAACTTTGATAAAGATCTGCCATCCAGTTAAAGGATAGGGTATTTCAATACTTTGATAGAATATTTATATCGTTTGTGATCAGTTTTTAGATGAGTGATATTGTAGAACTGTAATTATTTAGTTAAATTATGCCTAAAAGTTAGAAATCAATTTCTAAAAATTTAGTTGAATTATGCCTTAACAAGCGATATCTAAGCAAAATGGTTGAATTATGCTGTAACTTTTGATTTCAAACAATTTAGTTTAATTATGACATAACTATCAATTTCTAATAATTTGTGAAAATGATGAATTAACTTTATAGATGTTTATTGATACCAGTTATTAAAGTTTTGATTTTATATTTTCAAAGTCAAAATGGTATATCTGTAAGATAAAATTATCTTAAAATGCTTCAAGATATTCGATCCAGGTTAAAGCTGCACACCTCCAGATGAGCCAAAAATTTTAAGAAAATCAACTTGATGAAAAATGTACTCAAATTTCAAGAAAAGTAAAAATATTTACAATTCCGGTAATAAATTACACGTTACATGCAATGAATGGCTGATTTTGCTGTACTAATTACCATATTTTCTACTGTACTGAGTGACTAATGTAGTAAAGGCTTTTGGCACATTTTGGTGTTTGTTTTGTAATTTACGTAGAGATTTAAATTTCTGTTTGTTATGTATGAACCATTTTCTCTGTTTACTTAAAAATATTTCATTTCAAACTTTTCATGACATGAACTTCATGAAAATGAACTGGAGGCATGCTGCTTTACACTATTTACTTACTTTCACTCAATCTTTATATTGTTAAAGCTGCATATATTTGTTTAATTTATATTTCATGTATGCATACATTCCTTTTGCAATTTTTTTTCTTGAACAATTATTCTGATATAGGTATCATTTACATTTTTTCTATAACAATTTATTTTATATGCTGTTTTTTGTCTTACAATATTGTCAACTGCCGAGCAGTTTTCTCAATTGAATGTTATGGACCAGAAATAATTTTTTTGTTTAAATGTTAAATTTATTGTCTAACTAGGATATAATTGTTACGTAACGTTCATTTGTTAATTAAACAAACACTGATTGATCAATTTATTACCGACTGGCTTAGTAGAATGCAACTATCAAATAAAGGCAAACTCTATAACTTGTTTAAATATCAGTTTGAGCGTGAAGACTATTTGACATCATTGCCAAAACACTTATACTTACCTATTCTCAAGTTTAGGACTGCAAATCATAAATTCCCTGTTGAAACTGGCCGTTGGTCTAATATCCCATATGTTAATAGAAAGTGTCCACTATGCCAAAATGACTTAGGTGATGAATTCCATTATTTGATGGTTTGTAATTATTTCACCGAAAAAAGAAAGCAGCTTATTCCAAATTATTTTCACAGATATCCAAATATCATTAAATACCAAGAACTCCTTAAAAGTAGTAACAGCGATATCCTAAAAAATCTTAGTATATTTATAGCGCACATCATGAACACATTTACACGTTAGTTTTACTTTTTGAAATAGTATATTTTACTCCGTCAATGACATTCCATAGTAACACTAATGAATGACGTAAATAAGTTTTACACGCTTTCCACGTGCTCCACTTTATCTCCTATAGAAATTAGACAGTTAAATATCGCTGTCCCCATACTTAAATTTATATTAAGTTTTAAGGTTAAAAAAAAAATGTTTCTTGTTGTATTACATGTACTAATTTTCGCTTGATTATCTATCATACTTGACGTGAAACATGTAATTGTTTTCTATTTGATACCCACGCATGTATTTATTTACTTGATTATTGTAATGTCTGTTGTTACAAAAGTAACCTTGACGAAATAAAAGAATGTTGTTGTTGTTGTTGTTGTTATAATATATGAAATATAAATAATTTGCATTAAAAGTGCTGAAAAATATATGTAACATTTTATTACAATCATTACCTTTCTGCAGTTTTTTGTTTTCAAAAGTTAAAAGTTTTTTTTTACAGAAAATTGTGTTTAGTTTTATAACTAGCCATTTTGTGTCTTGTTTGTTTGATTTAAATACTACATAAATTATAAACATATTTTTTTTAAGTGTCACTGCCATATTTGAATGTCTTTTTTAAATTGATGTACATAAATTTTTATTCCACCTTAAAGTGTGTAAAATTATATCTGCAGCAAAACATAATGTGAAAAGAATACTTCCAAAATGCCCATATGAAAGAAATAATTATATTCATTTGGTATGTTTCATAAACAAGTGAAATGTGCATGCACCAAAACCAAAACATTTATTATCAAGTATACCTTTATATAACATTTACTAGAATCATGAGTAATTATGTCGTTACTGTACACTAGATTTAGGTTCTAATTTTGCTATGTTCATTTTACTCTAATAATTAGGTGAAGGTATGTAGCTTTGAATGATAAACTGAATTGAACCTATCAAATAGCAAGGTTTAGTCAGGTGGTTTGTGAAACCGTCACATTTGAACTGTACTTTGTTCAAACTTCTGACTTCATCTATTTAATAATTTATAATCTAACTATTGATTTATCATTTGCTGATCATTGTTGTGCTGTTTTGTGGCATTTTTATAAATTTACTAATATAATGTACCATTCTAGATATTGACATAATAACGATATAAGTTGTTTGCTCGACTATTTGACTAATAGGGAAAGTTATTGTACTCAAGTTGACATCTGTGTCAATATCAGCAGCACCTTTTGGGTTAAGGTTTGCCACACGATTTGGTATCTGCAAAGTACTGGAGTGAATAGCTGAAATTTTACACACTTTACCTCTATGATGATCCAACATGACAGGCACAGGTCCCATAATTGTGACTTACCTTTTAAAAAAGTGTGCAATTTTTTGGGTCATGTGGGGGTTGCGTTCATTGAACGCCGCCTTTCCTTGTTGATCTTGTTAATCATATTTTGTACATTATTTTTATTAAAGTTACATTTGTCTTAAATCTATAATATTTCCTCATTCAAGTGATAACACCCTATGTTATTTATTTTAAAAGAGTTTTAGAACCAGTGAAGTTTATACTTTTGAACCATAATAATAGTTAACTATGCTATCTTAGCTGTGATTAAGTAGTGTTCCAATGAAATTGTGTTAGATGCAAATTGTTAGGGATGCAATATTTATATTTATTTGATTTTTGGTTGACTTTTTAGTTCTTTGCAACAAGTTTTGTATGATTTTTTTATAGCTTTACATTCTATTATTGTTCTATTGTATTAAAATGTATATGAAAAACAACAACAAAAATCTTTTTTGTTTTTAATTACTTTTTGTCCGTTGATGCATAACCAAAACTAATTAGCTGAGCCATGCCATAGTGAAGTCTGACCAGGTTTTCAACTTTTGGTAGCCTGATGTCTGAAGTTTGATATTGAAATTCCTTTAATTTTGATTGGACTGCTAAAGTTCAGGTCATGCAATAAGACCTATGTATCAGTTGCCAGACATGACATAAAAGATGCAAGTCTCTGTACTTTTATCAAGCTAATGTTAATACACCAAAAACCCTTAAATTTTGACAAAGGAAAAAAAGGGAAAGGAAATGGAATGTTTAAATAATTTGGAAAACTGGAAGGGAAATTCCGACATGTATAAAAAGGTTTAAAAATGAGGGAAAATTGGGGACTGCATCCATCTTTGGGGGCAACATACTTTTTTTGATTAATTTCCCAAAAACGGTTAAATGCATGGGGCCCGGGTTGTAGGGTCAATGGCCGTTTAAAGTACGAGATATTCCCTTTTTCCACCCCCCCTAACTCATGTTTCATGTATATATATATATTTTCAAATTTTTTTCTTTTATTCCTTTTGGGGGACAATTGAAAAAAACTGCAATATGTGCAATGTAGAAGATGTTTTACTGGTTAAGAACATCAAGGTACTTCGGGTGCATGCGTAAACCCCTTTAAAGGGGCATCACTGAGATTTTTTTTACATGACGGGACTGGGAACATTTCGGAGCTTTGTATACCATTTGGTGTAGTTCTGACCAAAACAAAATACTTTAGTGGAAATTTTTAGACAATTCCTTCATCCCGTTTTATCAGAATAATCATTTGTATTGAGTAAAATTATACCAAATATTCCATTTTATCTGCTTCAGTTGATGTATGTCAAATTTTTAGACTTTTTAACCTCAGTCAAGGTTTAATTACAGCCATGCCTCAGTGGAGCTCCTTTAAAGATAAAGATTTCATTGTAAACACTTAAATTTTAAATTTAAAATTTTGGTATTCTACCCAAAACCTTTATTTATTTTAAATTTAAAATGCTTGGGTTTCATTCTAAAATACCCAGATATTTTTAAGGGTGCTAATCAGCTTATGTATTCCCGAATTTACGTGCATTTCAATGAAAAAGCTATTGGGGGGTCATTCATAAGCTTTTCCCATACATCCCTTGACCCTGAATTTATGTTTCGAAAAGTTTTTTCCTCTCTTAGAGGGATCTCTCAAATGGAGATGTATGTTTTTCCCCCCATATTTTTCAAAACATTTTTATACTTTTTTGGAAATTTTTTTAAACGGAATATATAGGAAAAAGGGCGAAAGGAATCCCTTTGTGATTTTTTTACAAATTTAGGTAAATTTCCCACGGCACTTTTAAAACTTGTGGCGTAGTAAATTTGGGCCCGAAAATGCTGGGCCAAAAAGGAAAAATTTCCCATTTTGTTAATTATCCATTATTTTTGCCAATTAAAACCCAAAATTTTTAAAAATAAAAAGTTAAGTAAGTTTTTTAATAAGCAAATTTCAGTGAAGATAATTTTTTTGGGGGGGACTATAGAGAACATAATTTTATGATGATTAATCATCCCTTTGCATTTTTAAAAATTTTTTTTCCTGGGGGTTTTATACCAAAATTTTTGGGCTATGAAACCAATTGAAAATGATGTGATATTCACCGGGGGATGAAAATATTGGGGCCCAGGGGGATAGGGGCCCCGGGGCAATATGAACTTTCTGGCCGGTAAAATTTACATCATATGAGGGTTTAATCAAAATTTTTGACTGGGAAAATCCATTCAGCCATTTAATATATGATACTCACCCCGTGAATTTTGAGTTTTTAAAAAATTCTGTTGAAAAAAATGTGGGCCCAAGAGAAAATTTCAGGGGTAAAATTTTGATTCATAAAAATAATAGTTTAAAAAATCAATATAATATCAGGGTGAAATTTTTTGGGTAATTTTTTGGGAAAAGGTCCAAATTACTTGTACGCCCATTTTAAAACACATTTAATGTTTCGGACATGTTTTGAATAAAAAAAATAAATGGTATTAAACTTCGATACAAACTAAATTTTAAGAAGGGGAAAAGAAAATTTTCTTATTTAAATTTTATATTATATTGACATTTCCCGAATCAAAAGGAATAAAAAGGTCAAGTCAAAGTTT